TCAAAAGAAAACACATATCAGGTCATTTATTTTTCAATCTGTAGTGTTTGGCCTGACTCAGACTCTATTATAATATTGTGTCTGTAATAAGTGTATTGTGTTTATTGTTACATGTTTATTTGTATATTTGTATGTTTTTGAACTTGTTTGCTTTTTAATGAATTACAGTAAAATATGCTCTACATAATGTCTTAGTAATGATACTGATGTCATAATTGAGTTGAAACATTTACATTTTCTGCAAGTGTAATAAGCCACAAGATCCCATTACAGTAGAATATGTTTTGCAAAGCCACAACTTTTTTATTTACATCTCTAGCTGGCTCTAATGTCTTGGAGTGTAGTTGAGAGTCTATTTTGATTATAATCTTGCATGTCATCTCCAGGTACTCCTACTGAGGAGTCTTGGCCAGGAATCAACACCAATGACAACTTCCTTTCACACAACTTCCCCCATTATGATGGGGAACCGCTGATCACTCACGCACCCAGGTGTGTGTATCTGTTGTTTCCTGTTCGTGTTTCTTTTAGTGTGATAATCCTTTCTGTTTGGCAACTGTTGTGATTATTGTATATTTATGTGGATGTGTAAATGAGCTTTATTGTTAAGTCCTAGATAACATGTGACTTTAGTAGGGATAAATTCCTAGCACCCTCAGCTGGACAAGGTGATACTGAGCAACAGTTAAGATCCATGTGCAGATTAGATTATTTAATTGGTAATCTTTCACGGTCCTTGTACTTTTGACCTGTTTCATATCCTATCTGAAATGGAATAACGAGAAATGGAAATATGTTTTCGTTTAGTTTAACAAACGGACAATGAGATTTCTGCTCTAATTTATTCAGGTTTGTGACACAAACACCTATGGATCTCATTAAAAGATGAGTGGGAAATGTTATGGGCATGTCATCATGGTAATGTTTATTGTTGACTTTTACGTCCAATCCTTATTTCCAATACAGTAGGCTAATAGAGTAAAACTTTTGCTTTTACTTAAAGAGATGGAGCTTTCGTCGTTGCATTTATCAATGGGACATGAAACACAGGGAGAAGACCTGCTACAAAAAGTGATTTCTCAAGTTTCGTACATCAAAGGCAAAGCTTTGCAGCAGCATATTTGTTTTAAATGCCACACGTGGTTAACAGCAAGTGGTGGTTTGCGTCGCGACAATCGCTTATTAAAGCGGGACTTGGCAGTGTCGTAACGACTCCTGTACTATCTGACAGAATTAAGGCTGGACCAACAAGATAAAAAGGGTGTTTCAGTGTGCGACATGTGCGAATGAAATATCAAAGCCATAAACCGATTTGTAAACCACAAATGAGAAATCGAGCCGAAATCTCATTTTCCATTTGATAAACTAAACCAAAAATGAAAACACAAAGCCATCTTTCCATTTCTCATTATTCCATTTCCGAAAGGATATCAAATGGGTAAAAAGTACACGGACCTTTTACACACAGAAAACAGTTTGACTAGAGAGACAAGTGAATAGCAAAGGGAAAAAGGAAAATGAGAAAAGGAATGGTGCCAAATTACTCTATTTTACTATTAGTAGTTTTTTTTTTGCTGTAATGAAAATACAATGCAAGTGATTCAATCATAAATGTTAAATCAGTTGAGAATTCAGGTGATATTACTACTAAAATTTGTTAACATTGAGACTGGAAAGCTACAGCTATAATATGTTTTGTGCGATTTTGTTCTACAGGATCACCAATGACGGTCATGATCTACTATGCCAGTTATTACAGGTAAAGTATGCATTTGATTTTGCCCTTGCAAAGAAATGCCTGAGACGTCAAAAAGTTTTTGATTGATATCTACTTTAATGATTTACATTTTAGTGTGTTCATTATTATGAAAGATGCTCGAGTACTTAATAAATTGAGCCATCTGTCCATATTAAATTCTTACAGTCAGTCAAGACTAATAAAGGAAATTCAGGATTATTATCTGTGCTGTCATTAATACAAAGTTCATCTGAGTACGTTCAGTTTAATGTTCTGTTTTGGTTTAGATTTGTGTTCCCAGTTCCTGTGTTTATTTCCCGTCTTCCTTATGCCGAGTTCACACTGCACGATATTAGCCCGATTTTTCACTCGCCGACAGGTTTTGTGAAATCGGCGACAAATGCCCGACATCGGAGGCAAATCGGTGCTCGTTCACGCGAGTGACAATCACGCAGTGTGAATTATCAAAGACGCGATCTGAGGGAATCGCCGAGACGTCGCCGATGCCCGCAAAATATTTGGCATGCTAAATATCTGGAGCTGTCTGCGATTCACAATCACACTGTGTGCACTGATTTCTGACTGAAAACTACATCGGCGATGACCTACAGCCAATGAGAGAGTGGCGCCAAATACGCATAAAACTAGTGTGCCATGAAGTAATGTAATGCGTGTTGTAAAGATCGCGAGTAAAAACTACAGAAGAAGAAAAGCTTACAGCTGCATGAGTCGTGACTGTCACGTTAGCCTGATGGGACCAAACTCACTTTGTGATTTTAAAACGTAAGACAGTATCCAGATTTGAAGACTACAATATTTTTAAAAGTGATTGTTGGTACATTTTTACCAGTTTTTACCATACTTTCAAAACAAAAATTAAAATAGGAAAAATATGCAATATGAAAATAATTGAAGACAAAATGTGTTTTACTGAGAAAAAACAAGATTTGGTTTTTAAAAAGACTTTTTCCAAAAGGTACATCTGGAAAAAGGGGGGTCGTCTTATAATCAGGGTCATCTTATATTCGGGCCAATACGGTATATACTCCCCGTTTAGTTTGTTGTCAGTTCTTACGTCAATTTCAATTGGTTGTTCTGTTCTTGTGTCTTTATCCTCAGTAGGATTGATTTGAATTAATGTGAGTTATTGTTAAACTGCTGTTTCACTGCTGCAACTAGATCCTGCTCAAACTCATCCATTGTCAGACCCTAAATATGGATCTAGCAGCAGTTTTTCTTGGACTAGAAACTATCCTGTGTTCCATTATTCAAGATGGCCGGGAAATTGAGGAGACCATGGAGGAGTATTTGGAATATTGCCGCCAGACCTTGTGGGATGACTTTTACTCTGTTGGACTGTTTTTGGAGAGAGCTGGATGGGAACATTGGCAAATGGATGCCAGCAGAAGATTCCAGCAGGTCCCTGGCTAAGTATCTGGAGATTGTGCTTTGGCTGTGTGGTTCACAATTTACCGTCGGTGAGGTGGAGGACAACATGACAGCACAGCTATAGCCCACTCCCACCTTCTTGACATCATCTACCCAGAGTCAGAGCCATTACCTACCACAGACCCAGAACCAGAGCCCACCACAGACACTGAGCCAGAGCCTATGCCTGCCATGGACCCTGTGGTAGAGCCATTTTCTGACCCGGAGCCCGAGGCTTCTGCAGTCTAAACAGATGTGTGAGCAGGTCCCCATGACCATCCCAGAGGAACTTTTGGTGGAATTGACTTGAGTGACACAGAGCCAGTTCCTGTCCTTGTTTCTACCCTTGAGCAATCTCCTTCCTTGCCGATCCCCTCCAGCTGTTTAGATACTCCATTTAAATACTCTATTTAGATACTCTTTTTAGGTTCCACCCAGCCCTGAATCTCCTGCTCCACTGGTTTCACACAGCCCTGAATCCCCTGTCAGCCATTTCCAAGTCTCCTTCAGCAACATTGTTCTCGTCCAGCCTCCTTCTCTCTCCTCCTCTTTAAATTAAAGGCAGTTTTTCAGCCCCGTCTCCGCTGGCTCCCCTCAGCCAGATTACCGCCTAGGTGTGTCAATCCCCTGGCTTCACCTCGAGCCTCTGAGCCCTAGACTCCCCTAGACGCCCTGTCGACCCATTGGATCCCTTCGTATCCACCATGGCCCATCATCCCTCAAGCTACACCAGGCTCCCTTGTTTCTCCACCCCTTTGGCTCCCCCTGGCTCTGCCACAGTCTGCCGAGTGCCAGCACCACATGATTACAATGGTCTGTCTCATTCTGGGAGTATTTGAGGATATCATTAATGTACACTTATGATGAAATGGCTTTCTATTGAAGGTGGCTTTCTCCCACCTTCAATACCACGACTGAGGTGCCCTTGAGCAAGGCACCGAACCCCCAACTGCTCCCCGGGCGCCGCAGCATAAATGGCTGCCCACTGCTCCGGGTGTGTGTTCACGGTGTGTGTGTGTTCACTGCTGTGTGTGTGCACTTTGGATGGGTAAATGCAGAGCACTAATTCCGAGTATGGGTCACCATACTTGGCCACATGTCACGTCACTCACTTGAAATGTTGTAGGTACTCCCAGAACACCTCATTAATGAAACTCTGGAATACAGAGAGAGCATTGGCCAGGCCATATGACATGACCCGATATTTGTAGTAGCTAGTGGGTGTGTGAGAATTGTTTGTGGAACATAGGAGTAGAAAACTTGGTAGGTGGAGGCCACAGTGGTGGAGGTGGATCGGGAGCGTGGTGGCACAGAAGGTCGATTAGAGGTGGAGCTTGCAGCAGAGATGAAGCTATGCTGCCGTGTTCTGGATCATCTGCTGAGACTTAGTTGCACTGGTTGGAAGGCCCACCAGTAGAGCATTGCAGTAGTCCAATCTTGAACTACAAGAGATTGGACAAGTAGCTGTGCTGCGTATTCTAACAGGAAGAGTCTGATTTTCCTAATGTTGTACGAGCGTGTACCTACACTGCCTGTGAAGTAGGACTGAAGCCACCAAAGTACCGTACCTGTGATCCCCAAGTCAGAAAGAGTGGACAGGAGGATATGTCAAAGGCTGCAGGTCAAGCAGAATAAGAACATATGATTTGGAGTGTTCAATCAGCTCTCTGATTTTCTGTCACGGAAAAAAGGACAGAAAGAAGAGAAGTGTTGGAGAGAATTTTGACTTGTCAGGATCTGATTCGTAATTGGATGAGTGAAGCCCCCTTTGTGCTGGTTAGAGCACAATAATATATAAGGATGAGGGGACAGGTGATCAGGTTTAGGTGATGTATTGATAGGAGGTAAGCCACAGAGGTACAGGTATTTCACAGGTGGGTATTAATTACAGGCAGTAGAGGCATTAGTCTGGAACACAAGAAATACAATAAAGGTTAATCAATAACTAGGCATATACAACAATAAACATCCATTGGTACATAAAGGCAGCCAAAGCAAGCTAAATCCTCATCAGTAAATTTTTTCCATGAAATATACAATCCAAGAAAAGAAAATAAGGTATCACATTGTACATTATAAGCCATTAGCGATCATCTAACATGATAAACATCACTCCATATATGGATAGAATCCAGGCACATCAAAGTTATCGCTCGTTTGGCATAAACAGCTTGAAATATCTAAATCACATCACAGAGGTATCGTTGAAAATCAAAACAGTGATATACATCTCAATAAAGAATAAATAATTTGTATATGGAACAGCCTCATTTGGGCTGATTTCAACTAACAAAAACAACGTCTGCGGGAATGTCTAGACATGTGCGTGTGACGCTGTTATAAATAACTCAATACCGATCTCGATAAACACAATAATAAAGAAAACAGACTTACTTGTAGGTCAATGACTAACACCTCAAGGTAACTTTTGCAGCAAATATGACAGGAATGAATGACCTTTCAGTGATCAGCAGAATACAGAGTTCAGCAGGCATCAGCGGCTTAACTCACGAGACTGCTCAGCCAGAAGGTGACGTACGGTGTCAGAATAAAAGCCCTCTCTTAAAGGAGCCTTTACAACAAGAAGAGTTGAATGTGTGTGGGTGGAGGATGTAAAGAACTGGTTGCTGATGGTTGCCAGCTTATCAGTGAAGAAGCTGGCAAAGTCATCAGAATTCGGAGAAGAAGTGGGAGGAGGTGGACAGATAAGAGAGGAGAAAGTTGTGAATAATTTCAGGGTGTCTAAGGCATTGCTGATTTTGTTTATCTTCGCAGCAGAATCATTAGAGAAGAAAGAGGACAGGAGATAATGGTATTTGCTCAGGTCCGCAGGGTCTTGTTGTGTTGCTTCATCTCTTCTCAGCAGCTCTGAGCTTAGTTTGAGAGCAGAGATGAGGGATGGGACACAGAGACCACAGGGGAAAAGTTCTGCTATACTGCCAGACAGTGTCTAGGATTGTTGTAGTCCAGGGGTTTTTCAAACCTGTCCTGGAGGACCCTCAGGACTGCATATTTTGTATGTCTCACTTGTCAGGCACACCCAATTCAGGTCTTGCAGTCTCTACTAATGAGCTGGTGAGTTGAATCTGGTGTGAGTTGTGGGAGACATAAAAAATGTGCAGGGCTGGAGGGCCTCCAGGACAGGTTTGAAAACTCCTGTTGTAGTCTTTGTTGTGTTTGTCTTCCATTGTTTTGACTATCTCTGGTGGTGAAACAGAATGCTGGTTACTGGTCTTCTGTCATTCATAGAACCAAGGTTACACCAGTAACCAGCGTTTTGTTGTGTTCAAAACATTTTGATGTCATCCTCTTAAGGTTCTGTCAGAAAGATTACCATTATTTTTAGTGTGAAAATATTACAGAACAGTGGGTTTAAACTGAAAAGGGTTTTCACAGTGATACAACAGATGTAGTTGGCAATGCAGCAAAGTGGAATAGAACTCAGCTTTATGCAAATGGGGGTGCAGGCAGTGATCTCTTACTTGATAACACTGGATACAGCATTGCACACTAAACAGAATGAAATCTATCAAATAATAATACCAAGTGCGGTATCTTCTTAATTAAATCATTATGCATGGCGAAAGTGTTCACTGCTGTGTGTGTGCACTTAGGATGGGTTAAATGCAGAGCACTAATTCCTAGTATGGGTAACCATACTTGGCCACATGTCACGTCACTTCACTTCACTTCATTTAGCTTGTAGTTACCTACTGCTCAACACTGCTTAGATGTATGTTTTTTTTGTTTTTTGTTTTTTAGTGTGAAGCACGGCAGCGTATTTGTGCAGAAGTGGCTCTCCGGCACATTTATTTCAGAGACCTGGGAGAAAAAGTGCAGGACCTGGCTGACAGTAAGTATTTCATACTAGTAATTTTATAGTCTTATAATATATTACATTTACATTTAGTCATTTAGCAGATGCTTTTATCCAAAGCGACTTACAAATGAGGACAATAAAAGCAGTCAAAGCTAACAAAAGAGCAACAATATACACTGAGCAAAATTATAAACGCAACACTTTTGTTTTTGCCCCCATTTTTCATGAGCTGAACTCAAAGATCTAAGACTTTTTCTATGTACACAAAAGGCCTATCGAGACCAAACGCGTTTTCAGCATGTCTCCACACAGATATATATATAGTATATATATAATATAATATAGTAGTCTTATATTATTATATTATAGTCTTATAAGCTAATTGTTGTAAGATGTGATGCTGTGTACATAAATTTGCATGGACAATCTTGAACAGAACAATTTCTACACATTTATAAAGTCATACATTCACAGCTGAAATGTCATGTCTGTATTAATAAAATGTTAAATTCTGTCACTCCAGCTACCTCCATCTTTTCTGTCAAGGAGATTCGACTTCAGATGGACCCAGGAAAACACTTTCCAGCTCAAAGAGAGTTGGGTGAGTTCAAATATTTACCTGGATTTTGAGTTCCTTGTACATGTTAAAAAAAAAAAAGCAGCAAGACGGTAACCCTATTTTATCTCTCCTCCAAAAAATCAGATGAGAAAGTAATTGATACTACAGAAGTAAAACAAAAGAAAAAATATTGCATTACAGTATTACGAAATATGACATCAAATAGTGTGTAAATCTTTCCGTTTATTAAAATAACGCACTAGCAGTGATTTATTGTTTACTGAGGATCTGTTGATTAATGTTTTGAAAAGTAGGTGATAATAAACAGCCAGCAGTAATAAATCAAATTACGCTTGCTACTGTAATATAGTCGTTTTTTTTAAACAAACAACAAATAATAAACTTGGCAGGCATGTCGAATCCTGCTACTGGAGGGCCACCTTCCTGCAGAGTGTAGCTTCAACCTAGAAGTTTTTGAGCAAGCAAACTGTGACAACTGTGGGTACAGCTCAACTGGGATATTTTATGCCGGGTTCACACACAGTTTTGTCAAAATAGCATGTGAAATATCTGGATTCGTCCACGACTTACAGTCCTGCGGTGTGAAATGTGTTTTGACTGGAAATGATATCAGCGATGACAAGTACAGGGGGAGGAGTAATGTGTGTAATGTGTGACTCTGTCACCGATCTGTCGTGTAGTGCACACAAATGCAACTACAGTCCATGTTACCCCAGACAGCTGTGCAGTGTGAGAAGGGCATTAGACGCTCAGTTTCATCTAAGTTTATTAGTGAAGAAAGAAAACCTTGTAAGTCTGTCACGGGCTCACCAGGCTCCCCCAGCACCATTGCACAATGCTCTCAATCTGTGAAAGAGATTAGTGTACAATTATTGAATTATTCATTAATGTATTTATTCATTCAATTTAAGTACTTTTGCTAACAATTTCAGTTCTAAGGTTATCAGTGATGCTGGACTGCAACTTTTAAGGCAACGTGGAGGCTTGTCTTGATCTGTTGAATCCATGATCACTGGTCTCTTTTATCCCATAGCTCTATCTAAGCCTGGAGATTCTCATCATAGTTTTATTAAACAAATATTAAACAATTATCTTTAAAGTCCAATAACATCTTCAGAGAAAATGAGATCATAGACTCTAACAGTAGAAAAATGACTGTAATTGAAACTGACACAGAGTTAGAGCTAAACTCTGCATGAAGGTGGCCCTCAAGAAACAGCAGGACTGGAGACCCCTGAGGTAAGCAGAAAGACAGTTAAATCTATTGAATAATTTTATATTATTAAGTTCATTATTTTGTTAATGATATCAGCAGTAATTTACTGGGACTCACATAGCAGTTTGTTAAAGTAATTTATTATTTTTTAATATGTCATTATATATTTCAGCGGTGGTCCATCGAATGGGATCTGCGCCACCTGAACATTTTCTCCCTGAAGGAGTAAATCGTCTTCTGCATCCTGCGCCCCTCTCTTCATAAATTTGCTCGTATAGTAACCATATCGTATAGTTATGCAACATATTTTGTTCTCTTTGTTTACAAGGTTTTCTGCAAGTATCTTTTCTTGTCTTATTTTATTTATTTATTTGCATTTTTTCCTCTGTATGTAAACATCTGTTTGAAATACAATGAAGTAGGGAAAATATGCATATGATGGGTATCAAGCACCAAAGATTTATTAGTTATTGTTTCTTAGGCAGCCCAAACAACCATAGGGTAAGAAGTTGCCAGTAATGGCACGGTCTCTTAATGTCATCAAATATAGTAATTGTCACTCAATATGTCCAGTGTTTTGCCTGGTTTCCCACTTTACAATGGCGCCGAGCCAAAATCAATGTACTTTCAGTATCAGCCATACTGGAGTGTTCACCATCTTGGATTTTACAGTAGCTAAATGTTTAGCCAAATTTGAGTTGCTTTTTCTTCTCCAAAAAATGTGTCCAGTGTTGTTTTGTTTTTTTTGACTCCCACATCTTACCACTGTGTTTGAAATGTATTATAACAATAAAATGGCCATGTCTGTACAAAACCAAACAGATTTTTATAATTCAGCAATCCCTTGGCAGTATTTGATGGTGAAGATGCCAAACAGGTAAAGAAGCTGCATCTTTCCAATACTTTCGAGTACTGATGTATAAGCTGGTATGCATCTTTGGAAACAAGCCATGAGGATGCCTTAGCAGTTTCACGGCTCCTTCTACAGTCAAAACATCAGCAGAGTGCTTCTCAAATGAAAGTCTGCGTCTTAGCAAGGATGCGATTCTGGGCCGCCATGTCAAGCACTGCCAAAGACCATCTCAATTTGAAGTATCCTTTGTTTTGTGTCCTTCATTTAGCATGTTTTGAAGGCCCTGAACTGGTCCAGTTTCATTATGTAATACAAGACAAAAAAAATTACTGAAGATGAAGGCATTATGCTTTGTTATAAATTAACTGCCCATGATGTAAACCAATGGGAAACAACCGATAGTTGACATTCACTGTAATGCATTCATAGAAAGTCAGTC